AGAGCAGAGTAGAGGGGGAGAATCCCCTCCCTCGACTTGCTGCTAGTGGTTCTTTCAATGCAGACCAGGACACAGCTGGCCTTCTGAGCTGCAAGCGCACATTGCCGGGTCATGTTCAGCTTCTCATCCCCCAGCGCCCCCAAGTCCTTCTCTTCAGGGCTGCTCTCCATCCATTCTCCTCCCAGCCTTTATCTGTGCTTGGGATTGCCCTGACCCACGTGCAGGGCCTTGCACTTGGCCTTGTAACTCCATGAGGTTGGCACGTTCCCACCTCTTAAGACTTTCCATGTCCCTGTGGATGGCATCTCTTCCCTCCAGCATGTCGACCACACCACACAGCTTGGTGTTGTTGGCAGAGTTGCTGAGGGTGCACTCCATCCCACTGTCCACGTCCCCAACAAAGATGTTAAACAGCACTGGTCCCAGTACTGACCCCTGCGGAACACCACGTGTCACCGGTCTCCAGATGGACATTGAGCCGTTGACCACAATGAGTGTGACCAGCCAGTTCCTTATCCACTGAGTGGTCCTTCCGTCGAATCCGTGTCTCTCCAATTTAGAGACGAGGATGTTGTGTGGGACAGTGTCAAAGGCTTTGCACAAGGGTTGATGATGTCGGTTGATCTTCCCTTATCCACCAATGCTGTGACCCTGTTGTAGAAGGCCACCAATGTGTTGTCAGGCACAATTTGCCCTTGGTGAAGCCATGTTGGCTGTCGCACATCACCTCCTTATTTGCCATGTGCCTTAGCGTAGTTTTCAGGAGGATCTGCTCCATGATCTTGCCAGGCGCAGAGGTGAGACTGACTGGTCTGTAGTTCCCCAGGTCTCCCTTTTTTCCCTTTTTAAAAATGGAGTTATGTTTCAATTTTTCCAGTTAGTGAGAACTTCACCAAACTGCCCTGACTTCTGAAATATGATGGACAGTGGCTTAGCAACTTCATCCACCTGTTCCCTCAGGACCTGTACGTGCATCAGGTCCTATGGACTTGTGCAGCTTCAGGTTCCTTCCCTGTTGGTGAGAACAAGGCCCAGCACAGCACATCTCCTCCGTGGCTCCTCCATCACTTGGAAAAGGAAGTTATCATCAATGCGCTCCAGGAACCTCCTGGCTTGCTCACACCCTGCTGTGTTGTCCCTCCAAAAGATACCGGGGTGGTTGAAGTTCCCCATGAGGACCAGGGCTTGTGGGAGGCTGCTCCTACCTGTCTGTAGAGGGTCTCATCCGCTCGCTCTTCCTGGTCTGGTGGCCTGTAGCAGACCCCTGCTATCATGTCCCCTGTCCCTGCCCTCCTGACCCATGCTGTGTCAGCTCCTCATCCATCCCCAGGCGGAGCTCCATGCACTCCAGCTGGGCACTGCCGTGGAGGTGACACCCCCTCCTCGCTTCCCCTGCCTCTCTTTCCTGAAGAGCCTGTATCCCTCTGTTCCCACACTCCAGTCGTAAGAGCATCCCACCATGGCGTCTCCATGATGCCAGTAAGATCGGTGCTGCAGGCGTGCGCACGTCTCTAGCTCCTTGTTTATTCCCCCTGCCACGTGTGCTTGCATAGTCTCTAAGGATGTTAGTGCTTGGGCAGGAATTTTCAGGTGTAAATTATTTGTAGATGAAATAGCTTGATTTAATCTTATCTAATAGTATTTGGGTGAAGCTCAGTGTGCCTACATGTAAGTCATAAAAATGCTTTGCCTTGAATGTATATAATTGACTGTAAAAAAAAAAATCTCCAAACTAACGATTAAAACATTTGTATGTATCCAAAGAGAACAAAGTGTAAATGTTCAGTATGTGATTTCTGTGTTGTCGTTGTCATCTGATTTCAGAGGTCAGCAGATGGATCAAGTCCAGAAGATGGAGATGGTAAGAGATTTGATTGTAAGTTTAAAAACCAGAAGTATATCTCTCTCCAAGATTTTGTGCATTTTCTGTAATTGTTTTTTTTCCTACAGAATCTGATCGAGAGGATGGGAGCTACTGTCCACCTGTAAAGCGCGAGAGGACTTCATCCTTAACTCAGTTCCCTCCTTCTCAGTCAGGTAAATGTTGTTGCAATATTATATAATAGAGAGGTGTCTTTTTTTTCCAGTCACATCAGCAGTCTTGTCACTGTCTGCTGTGTTTTGGTTTAGGACCGTGGCAGCCATGTACTCTGACTTTTTCTATGGTTTGTTAGCAAATTCAGCAAAGCCCAAAGGAGGTGATAGATATGGTTCTTCTAAAATATTTTATATCTGTAAGTTTATATAGATATTTGTAACTTCAGTTTTTAATCTTAAATTGAAGAATTTACAGGAAATCTTTTTGGTTTGTTGTGATCAGGTTGCTTCGTAACAAATTTTTATAAATATTTCCTTTTTCTTAGTGACTATGCTGCCAGGCAAATCTTCCAAGTCTCAGGTCGTGTTGTTTTAGTCCTTTCCTTTTCTCCCATTTCTTTTAAAGTGGAGAGGGTTCAGTGCTTTTCAGCAACGTTCTCACCTGGCAATGACAAGGGAGTGACTGCTGCCTGCTTGTGTGTACCGTCAGGGCAGCGAAACCCCTGGGAAGGCCAGGGGTAAATTCCTGCTCTTCACACCCATGGGAATGGTCATGTTTGATATTTGTGTTCACCCCCAGGACTGGTCTCTAAAATTTCTGCCTTCTCTCTTCACAGACAGTAAGAAGTTTTTAGCTTTGGTCAAGAATTATTTTAGTTAAGATATGTCAGTGCCTGGGGCAGGTTTGGAGACTTAGGTACTTAGTTTCCATCATTTTAGTTGAAATAAAGGAGATGAGAAAAACAGTAAAGGAGAGAACAGTGAAAAATATTCCTCTGACATACAGCACATTCAGGAAGTGTGACTAAAAGATTGTTGTTTTGCTTTTAATTTTAAAGAAATAAGTAACTATGGTATTTAAAATGTAGTTGCCGATGCTTTATGGACACAGTATTCTTGTTTCGTACCGCCAGTACCAGTCAGGGGAGGAGTCCCTTCTCCGTGAGATCTAGGTTGTCTAGTGTGCATCTTAGCGGGTTTCAAGGTATGGTCCTGTATGGGTCAGGGGACTGGTGTTGCTGCTGTCTGCTTGTGAGTCACTCTTAGTAATAAGAACACTGTCTGCACAAAAATAATGAATAGGGGGGTTTTCCTGTGGGTTTTCTGTTAGGTTAACATCATATGGATAGCCTTGTAGGAGCGTCCTTATTTATCGGACCTTGTATTGTTAGATTCCCTATAATCACTAACTCTTCTAGTCTGTAATGCCTTTATCTTTTGAGATTAGATCTCTAAAATCTCAGATTTTGGTTGATGCTAACGTTTGTTAATAAGTGGAGGGAAGCAATTTATTTGGCTCTTTGATGGTTAAATAGTGGCTGTTTCAGGGGTCCCGTACACGGTCACAACAGCTGCGTGGCTAATGCACTTGGACTGGATATGGTCGTTCCCTGTTTGACTCCCTTGTTCTCTTCTGCTGTGTGTTGCTGTCGAGCAGTGACAGCTTTGACTGGAATTGCACCTTCCATAAAAGCTTCTTTGAATATTGCTGACAGTATTCAATGGCCTTGATTTACAGAAAACCTTTCGCTTTCCAAACCTCACAAATTTTTAGTGGGATTATGTTTCTCTCAAGGGTAGGGGAATTTTGCTTATATGAAACCTGCATCATGATTAAGCTTAAAGCAGACCATAATAGAAAGAGAGAAGATGGAATTAAAGGAAAGAAGCAAACACACAAAAAATCTAAAACTTAAATATAAAAGGCAAGTGCTGCATCTTTTGGTATAATAGTGTTCAGGGTTGAGTTTCTTCTCTTTTTAACATACTTAAATCTTAAACAGCCTCAAAAGCTAAAAGAGCTGCTAAATATTGTCTACTTTACCTTGTACAAGATGATCTGGAGACGAAAAACCCCAGCCTACTATTGTTGCCTTGTGACTCTTGATCCAGCTCCCTCCTGCTCTGGTCATCATATTTCGTAAGCTGCGTTGCCTGCGATTCTGTGTGCAACACCGAAAGGACCTCAGCCGCGGAGCAGGACCTGAACCAAACTCCTTTTTCTTCACTTCTCTAGGTCCCGGCAAAGGGTGGAAAAGAAACACTGGCCTGTCCCTGTTCCTTTCAAACAATTTTGTTTGCTCTTTTGTTGACATCTGCAAAGACTCTGATGTGCTGTCCTCTGTTTCTGTAGAATTTGTGTCCTTGCATCCCAGTTCAAACGGAAGCTGCCCAGCTCTTAGTGCAAACTGTGCTATTGCTCTTTTGAGGAGCCCAGGTGTTACCTGCCACTAGTTAGCAGGCATTAAACTCCTTTCTGTCCTCTCGGCAGAGGCCTTTTGAAATGTTATATGTATTTTATGATGATATTATACATTCTAACATCACTTTTAATTCCTAGTTCAGATACAGTTCAGACCAGGAATCCTGTGTTATCTTCTCTCCAGAGCAAATGAAATTTGCCCTTTCTCTGTTTCAGGAGAAACTAAGGGTATTTTATGGACGATGACCTGTTCACTTCTGCGGCTATAATACTCTTTTATTTTAGAAGAAAGAAAAAACAAAAATAAACAAAACAAATGACTAGAAAAATCATTTTCAATTTGTACCTTTGATATATCTGGGATTAGAGTTTATAGTTAAGAACAACACACACAAATTAACTTTTTTCTTTTTCCTTGACTGCAGTGACAAAGAACAACGTCTTTATGCCATCAAGCTTCTGTGAACCCTCTACGGGCAATTCTGACTCAGAACCAGGTGAGCTTCCTCGTTTTTCTGCTTTTCTCAGCAAACTGTTGTCAGGCTATCATGATCCAAAGTACTCTGATTCTTCAGAAATAAGACCCTGTCTGCCAGAATGGAAGCGGTGATGGTTCTGATCTTACAGCTGTTCTCTTTCTCTCACTTCATTCATTGATTTCATGCTTGCTGGAGGTAATTAAAATAACGTATCAAAATTCTTGGATGCTTTGGGAGTGGTGGTAGAAGATTGCGATACAACTCTATGCCCACCTGCTAACCTCAAGATAAAGCTTCAGGGAAATTTTAATTTATCTGCTTTGGATACTGTTTTTTTAATATTGAAAATCAAATCAACCATAATCCATGGTCATGATGATGTTCAGCCATGACTTGTGAACCCTGTGTTGACAATGCCACTTATTTTGTTGATCACCATTGCCACTGGTTTGGCTGTGTTGGTCCCACTGTATAGCAGTGTTATCTTATGCTTAGATGGCATGAGAATAATGAAGTACAGTGAGATGGTGAGGTGCTGAGTTGTCGTAATTCTGAGCACAGCCACTATGCCCCTAAAAGGAAATGCTTTATAATTATACTTTGTAAGTTCTTAGGAACTCATTTTGTAATAGCTGTGAATTTAGGAATTTTTTTTTTTTGAGATTTTGGAATTTTATCTAAAAGCCTTAACTGTAATGAGTGCAAGGAAAATAATTGTTTACTGTCATACTGTAAAAGCATAAGATAAAAGCTAATACAATTACAAGAAGCTAATATTAAGCAATGAAGTTTAACATGATAATTAGCAGTTGGATGCTTATTAGAAGCTGTCATGTTCAGTCATACTTTTGTTTGTCCTTTCTTTAGTTTGATTCTCACTAAAAAGCTCTTAAGTAGCCCTATTAAACCTCTAAGTCCTTCACGGAAGGAACTCCATTTCTCTTGTGAAAATGGTCTGCTTTCTCTTGAAAACCAATTTTGTTTTGGCTTTTTTTTTTTTGTGCAACAACATGTTTCTGTCTCTGCGATGTATATTTGGTGTGATGATCACTGGAAATTCAGACTCATTTTGGAAGAAGGGAATTTGTTCTTCTGAAATCTCTGTACAACTTTGTATCTTTATAAAACTTGTGCGTTGCTACAACAGGGAAAGCATGAGGGATTTTATGACTGTACGTAGCATGTTACAGCTATGTCCTTGTAATTTTGTATTTTGCTTCTAGAAGAAAAGAGCAGTGGATTCCGGCTGAAGCCACCAATACTTATCCATGGTCAGGCACCTAGTGCAGGTGAGTTCAATGTTTTCTGCAGCAGTACAAACAAACCCGTTCAAGCATTTCATTTATTCAGGAGTTGCCTCAAACTGCTATTGGAACAGGAAGGTGGCAATACCTGTATTTATGCAGAAAAAACTCTTGTGTCCTCCAGGGTGGTTAGGCCGATATCCACTCTATAATGTGTATAGTTACACCCAAGCTTTGGCTTCGATCAGTCACACCTTGCTGAAGAGTATCTCCCAGCTGTCTCTGCTTAGCATGCTTTGCTTCACTTTTTAGAGTTGTCCTGGGCTCCAGGATCCCACTTCCTTTGGTAGTAAACTGGAATGAAAGGGGTGCTCCAGGAGTGCACTGAGCAGGTCCTGGCCATGCATGGGCACCCCGTCTGAGACCAGACTAGAGCAAAGGCTGAAAAGTTCTTCACTCCGCACTTCCTCCTCTCCCTGGCTTCTGGCGATAGCATGGATGGCAGGTCCTTGATGATCCCTGTTCTGCTGAGCAGTCTGGCTCCGTGGTTTGGCTGTTACTGGGTTTCCTGTTTGCTGATGGGACCTAGCCAGTATGGGAAAGACATTAACATTACAGCTCCTTAGGAGCTTAAGAGAAAAAAACAAAGCGATTTTGATAATGGAAGTTATTATTTGTTATATCTTTATATGGAAACTGTTTATTTGCAGGAACAGTAGTAAATTTAAAAAAAGAACAAGGCTTTTTGAGCTGACATATGAACAGTTGGACTTAGGATAGTTGTAATATTTCAGGTGTTGTCATGTCCTTTGAATATGGGTGGCCTAAAATGGAATTACTTGCAGAATATTCAGCTGAGTTGCTATGAGTAACTTCTGCTGCAGTATTTTACTGGATCAAAACTTCATCTTGGTTTTGTTCGGTGAAGAAAACTGAACCAACTGGGACTGCCAAAACTTTCTAGAGTTGATGTAATATTTTTTTATTAGGTTGTTTAAGGTCAGTTGGCTTTTTAAATCAAAGCAGAATTAGAGTTGCAGTGCCATGTATCTTACCATAGCAAACCAGAGGCCAGCTTAATTCAAAAAGCCAAAAGGTTGTTAAATGAAACAATACGTAAGAATTCTGGGGTCCTCAGCACAGGACAGACACGGAGCTGCTGGAGCAGGGCCAGAGGAGCCACGGAGATGGGCCGAGGCTGGAGCAGCTCCTGTGCGAGGACAGGCTGAGAGAGTTGGGGGTGTGCAGCCTGGAGAAGAGAAGGCTCCGGGGAGACCTTCCAGCACCTCCCAGTGCTGAAAGGGGGCTCCAGGAGAGCTGGGGGGGCTCTGGATCAGGGGGTGCAGGGACAGGCTGAGGGGGAACGGTTTGAAGCTGCAAGAGGGGAGATGGAGATGAGATGTGAGGAAGAAATGTTTTCCTGTGCGGGGGGTGAGGCAGTGGCCCAGGGTGCCCAGAGAAGCTGTGGATGCCCCATCCCTGGAGGGGTTCAAGGCCAGGCTGGATGAGGCTTTGAGCAACCGGGGCTAGTGGGAGGTGTCCCTGCCCATGGCAGGGGGTGGCACTGGGTGGGCTTTAAGGTCCCTTCCAGCCCAAACTGTTCTGTGATTATTACACTAGCAATACATTTGATTGTATGAAGAACAAAAATAATTTATCATTATCTGGAAATTACTTCCCTGCAAGGAGAAAAGATGACTTGGAATGCATAGTTGAATGATATGTTAGCGAATAAATAGGATTGTTTGTGTACTGTTAATTTCTCTTATTTTTTGACTTCTGTTTCTTGGTCGTTGTCATAAACTCTCCTTCTGTGCTTTCCTGGATAAGGTAGAGAATAAATTTGAAATTGTCTTTTAAGGGTAGGAAGTTGTCTTTTCTATTTGGGACTAATTCTATTTTGAGGCTGAGTGAGGGATGGGAAAGAAGAAGGTGGAACCTTTTCAAATGTCTGTTTTTTCATTGTATGTTCTGTTGGAAGCAGTTACAGAGAAGACCAGATAAAGTTGAGTCTTTCAATTTTAAAACTTTATAGCTCTTGAAAAAACTTTGTACTTGCAGGTCTCCCTAGCCAGAAACCGAAGGAACAGCAGCGAAGTGTGCTACGTCCAGCAGTATTACAGGCACCACAGCCAAAAGCTTTCTCACAGATGGGTAACTCAATGCTTTTGCTTTCTAGAAGACCGCAGAGGGAGAACAAAAATCCAAAATCTGTGTGCAGTGTTAGATTGCAGCAGTGTGGTTGCCTGAAGTTGTATATGTTGAAGTCTCTGCATCATTTGTATAGATTAAATGACTTTTTGCTGACTTGCTTATCTGCATTTGTAATTTTGGTTCTGGTAAGAGTTGCTGAATTGTGGCCCTCGTGTCTTGCAAAATACTATGAGAACTCTGTAGTTTACATTGTGATGTTTCCTGGACTTAAACTAGAAAACAGCATGCAATTTGCTATAAAAAACTTACTACTTCTACGACAATCTAAATATCTAGAGAATTTATGTCACTTTCTCATTCCTTACTGCAGTTCTCAGCTGTGGCACCAATGGTGTGAATATCCCACCAGATTCTGCAGCCGCATCAGAATCACTAAGTAATGCAATACTGAAAAGTTCTGACTCTGAAGACAAGGTGAGTTGGAGGAGGATTGGAAGGACACTCAAGGTGACTGACATGAGAATAGTATTTTCAGAACAGAGTCTATTTTTTTAGGACTGTGAGTGCCATTTCATCAGTGGTAGCCCCCTTATCTATCCATACTATGGTAGTACAATTTAGGTCTAGTAGTAGATTTTATACTGTCCTAATAGTATGCTATATTTATCTTTACTAACTTGAGAACTGTAACAAAAATTTACTGAATCCACAGTTTAGGATTTTTTCATACCTGTTGTCCCTCACAAAATATAAAAAAATTGCCGAGTTCTGCTTCAACTCTCGCTGGTTCCTTTCGTCCCACTAGCTTTATTTATAGTCTTGCTGTAAAGTCTTACTGCAGCTTGAGTGATGCTACTCCTACCATAGACATTGGATTCCTTAATTTGGGTGTCTTGGTTAGTGAACTGATAGTCAGAATACTGCTTTTTCATCTGAATGGATTGCCAGAAGAAATACATCTTCCTCCTGCAGGTTCATCTCTTACTCCTTGTGCAGGGAGTGGGTCAGGAGAGTAGGGAATTGTCTTCTAGGAGCGGGGAGAAGAGCTGTCTCCTCCTCCAGTGGCTATTACCACGTCTGACTGGTGCTCCTGTTAGGCCAGAGACTGAGAAGCATTTACTGAATTCCTTTGCCCGCCTGAAAAGGCTTTGGTTTTGAGCTGGGTGAGCTGAGCAGTTTATGTTGCATGTGCTCAGTCTTCCTTCTCAGATTGTCTGGCAAAAAGTGATCCACTGCCCATGGATGATGGCTTTGTTGGTGTTGTCTTGATTTCTAACAGTTGAATATGGAACGATGTTGGGAAGTGTGAGGATGGAAAGCAAACAAGCAACTTAAGTGAATGAGTAACACAAAGAAGCTTAGAGACAGGAGCTGATAGTAGGTAAAAATCCAGAGGCGGCCCCGAAATTCCCTACCAGAAGTAGTGGAGGGAGAGTGCAGGCAATGAGCAGCTGAAAAGCTTCAGTTAGAGCAAAAGGCTTCTAAGTGCACAAAAAGTTATTTATTCATCTTCTTAAAAGGAAAATAATGAAGCAGTTCCTTCCCTGTTCTGTGCAAAGCACATCCAGTCCTTCATGCAGGTATGGAGCCAACTGTTGGCATCATAAGATACGTTAACTGAGAGCATGAGGAGGATGTTTGGGGATTTTGAGGCTGTGTGGGGTCTGGGTGGTTTTTCAGGGTTGGGGTTTTTTTTGGTAGCTTTGTTAGGCAGTGGGTTGCTTTTTGATGCTACATGGAGGATAGAAGTAGTACTGCTAACACAAGAGTATGCAACTGTTTACTTGAAATTCAAGTCTCAATTAATTAATTTTGAAATCTGAATATCTAAGCAGAAAGCCTTCAAGTGTGAATAGCTTTCTAAGGTTTAGTGAAAGGCTACTGCCATAATTAAGTACCAATAAGTAAATTAATTGCATGGATCAGTTTGAAGTCTTTGTGGGACATGCTTGTTACCTCTGTGTGTGTCATTAGGGAGACCCTCTATATATTTGTAACATCCAAAAGTCCTCTTGAGTTTGTTTTATTAACCAAAGTCCAGACATACTGACGTGGGAGGAAGTTTTCTGATAGAAGAAATCTCTTAAATCTAGATATTAAGGATTGCTGAAAGCTAAATATTAAATGGTATAAAGCTTGATAACTGAACATTTGCAATTTTACCAAGGAGTGTGGTGGGATATTCTTCATTGTCTTGACATTTGTAGTCAGGATGGACCATCTGCCTGAAGTTTTCTAGCGCAGCTGTAAGTAACCGGAGTTCATACAGTAGTTGTGTTAAATGCTGGAGTCTCTCTGTAGGGCATTGGGTTGCTTGGTAAGAGTAAGTGTTTACTTTGGGAATTAAGTTTCATATTAGTAATTGTATGTGCAGATCTGTGGGATAGATTTGATGTACCAGAGAGAAAGCTTCCTTGTGGGGGCAAGTACCTGGTATTTTGCAGGTGTATATGACCATGGTTTGCCCTTGTTAGAGCAGATGTGCGTCATGATCTTATTTTACTGGCAGCAAAGATTTTTCTTTGAGGTCTCTGTCTTGCACTTATACAAGGTAGCAGAGTAGCAGTGTTCTCTGTCTGGTTGTTGTCCTACTCTGAGTGTCTCTGTGGTGACCTGTACTATTTGGTCTAGGCCTTGTATCTGTCTTGAAGATCTGCAGGAAACTGCAGGAGCCCTAAGCAATGTAATCCTTAGATGGGCATGAGCTACAGCCTTCTGTTCGACCTCCCTTGACTGGTGGAGAGTCTGGTGCCTCAAAGTCATCAGATGCGCAGGGAAGCTTGGGAGGCAGCTGTTCAAGCCTACCATGCAGCTCTTCGCTTTTTTGGCAACAGGGAGATACTGATCTGTGTCCAAAAGGAACAAGACCTGTTAAGGAGATATTACGCTAATGATTTTTCCTTTCATTCAACAGAATGCTCCTTTACCCTGTGTACACCATTCAGTCAGTGGTGGACAACTACTCCCATTGGACCATATCTGACTACCAAGCAGAAAAGGTTGTCTTTGAAATGGCAGAATTAGAATCTGAAGGCATATGATACAGCTAGGTTGTGCAAAGGTTATGCCCCTTAAACATAAAACGGGATTTGAAAAACTCCGTTGGACCCAATCCAGTGTTGTTTTCCCTCTGCTTGCTTTGCCCTGTGCAGTATGTGCAGAAGGTACCGTGGCTGGCAGCCCTGCTGAAGCACCTGTAGTGCTTCTATTAGTATTATTACTTGATTTCAATCATTAGACTATTCTTATCTCAACCCATGAGTTTTCTTACCTTTTCCCTCCAGTTCTCTTCCCCCACCTCACTGTAGTTGGGGAGAGTGAGGAAGTGGCTGTGTGGTGATTAGATGCCGGCTGGGATTAAACCACAACACGTGGGTGCTGAGGGAGCTGGCTGGTGTTACTGAGAGTCCACTGCCTGTCATCAAAGTATTGTGGCACTGTTGGAGGTCCCTGCTACTGGGGAAGAAGAGAACATGGCACATGTTTTCAAGAGGGGCAGGAAAGGGGATCCAGGAAGGTAGGAACTGCACAGCCCCTTTCTCTCCCTTCCTGGTGAAGGAGTCCTAGGATATGAAGCACCTGAAAGTGATTGAGAACAGCCAACATAGATAAAACATGGTGACCAACCTGTTGGGTTTTTTTTCCCCTCTGAGATGTTTGGCTGTGCAGAGAGCGATACTTGTTGGTTTTGACTTTAGCAAGGTCTTTGGCATGGATGGTCTCCAGTGTCATCATCATAGCCAAGTTGGAGAGAGATGTGCTGGTTGGGTAGAATTTAAAGTGGGTGGAAAACTGTCTGAACCAGTGAGCTTCAAGGGTAGCAGTCAGATCAAAGTTTGATGGGTGGCCTGTTAGTAGAGGCATTCCTTCAGGGCTGATATTGAGGTCAGTACTATTTCATGTTTACATGACAAGCTGGCAAGGTGGAGTGAATCTTGTTAAGTTTGTGGATGCCAGGAAGCTGAAGGAAGGGGAAAATGGTCAATATGTTGGAAGGCAGGGCTGTTCAGAGTGGTCTCAGCAGGCTGGAAAAATGATCCAAGAGAAACCAACTGATGGTCAACAAACGCCAAGTCCTGTACCTGGGGTGAGATAACCCGCATGTCCCAAGGATTGGAGAGTGACTGGCTAGAAAGCAGCTATACAGACAAGTGTTCGGGTATCCTGGTGCTGCATGAAGGATGTTGAGACAAGTTCTCATGTAAAGGATTTATTGTCAGGGTCTGTAGCTGAAAGTATTACTTCCAAGGGTGAGAGTTATTTTATTTTGGAGGAGCGGAGAGCAAAAGGGGAAAGAAAAGGGAAGACTTCCCATGGGCCAGCCAGGAAGAGAAGTGACAGGGGTTCCCCAGACAAGTCTCGTTCCCCTGGGTGTCCTCTCCAGTGGAGCAGGTGGTACTCCATAGTACTTTTCCTATAGTAACTATATAGTTTTCATCAGGATATGCTCAAACTTCCTACTGTGGTTTTTTTCCTGCTTATGATGCTGTTAATGTTGACTGGATCATGCTTTGAACAGCATGCTGCTGGTTTTTTCATTTTCATTCAATGTTTGTTACAATTTTGAAGCTGATGCTGTTTTGAGCGTGGTTTGGACCAAATCATTGTTAGAGATCCCCTTGAACCTTAACTATTCTGTGATTCATTAAGAAAGATGCTCTGAACAACAACAGAGGATTTTTTTTTAATGTAAAATTTGCCTTTTAGCTCTGGAGATGTTATTGGCCAGCCATTGCAAATGACTGTGTGACTCAGTGTCACAACATTTGTTGTTTCAAGTCAATTACCTGGGCTAAAGTTTTCAATTTCTTTTCTTTAGGCAGGAGAATGTCAGAAAAAAGAGTCCAACAATACTTCAGATGATGACAGCTGTGAGAAGGCAGAACTAAATGCACACCAAGCATTTGTATTTGGGCAAAACTTAAGAGATAGAGTTAAGGTAAACATGTGTTTGTTATCTTGACTAAGAGTTGATATATGTAAGTGAGGATAAGAAGCAGTGGAACAGATCGTTTGTTGGTGTGAGCATTACACACTGTTTATGAAGTGCTTTAACCCCTTTAGATAGTGGCTTCAAAACCTCCATGTATACATGCAAAATCAGAAGCTGTGAACACAGTTCAGTTGGCTGTTTAGTAAAAGAGGTCTTCCAGACATTTATTAAATTAATATTACTGTTCAGGAGCATAAGACGCTTTTTCAAAAATAAGCACATCCACTGCAGTCGTGGGTAACATCTAAAGCTCAGTGCAATGTAATATTTTCTCTTACCTTTTGAGTCAGAATTAAGTTGAAATGTGTTCCTAAGATGCTACCATGCAACCCAGATTTCACTGAAAAGGTGAGAGAAGAAAAATAGGGTAGCCTGTGTTCAAACCTGTGCATGGAGTGATTGAGTTAGATTGTTAGTACCTCCTGTTGAAGACGGGTTTGTGCAGGTTTCCAAGCGTGACAAACAAAAGTGTGATACTGGGATGTAGGCTTGTACTGTTCTATTGTAGAAAGTGTTTGTGGATGGAACTTTGTCTTGGGAAAGATTGAGCTGAAAGTCTGGTAGTAATAGTAAGGTGCCAAAAAATTAAAACTGTCAATATATACTTGTTCTTTTTATAGCTAGGCAATGAAAGCGATGAAAGTGCTGATGGGCAGAATGCTGGCCTTCCTACATCAGACGTACCTTCTGCAACAAATTATTTTCTGCAGTACATCAGTTCCAGGTGAGACTACAGGGAAACCTATAGGACAGTTTTCCTTATTCTGTGTTAAAATTACTTGTGATTCTGCTCTTTACTGGATGCAGGGCTTATACTGGGTCAGTGGGAACTCTGGCTTCTGAAGAACGAGGTGGCACACTTCAGATCTGAGGGAATCCTCAATCATCTGGTCAAGGCAGATGCATTTGACACCATTTATTTGGCCAGTCCTCACCAAAGCCTCTTCAGAAAACTAACAAACGTAAACATAAAACTAGAGAAGTCTTCACATGAATGATTAAAAAAAAAAGCGGTGATGGAATACACTGGAGCTACCGGTAGAATCCTGTAGAGATCTGTGCTGTATTTGCATTGTTCAATATGTTCCATATATGATATGGATAAAGGGAAGAATATTTTTTTAAAAAGTGATTTATTCATTATAATTTTTTCAGAGCAAGGTAGAGGGCCTGTATGATAAAGCAGGAACCTTACTGTGGGAGGTTTTTGAGAGAATTTCTGATTCGGCAATAACATCAGAAGTTTGATGTAGGTATACGTAAAGTGAGGCAGCCAGGAGAGTACTGTGCTAATTGTGTCTGTGCAGTGATGAACTCTGAACCGACAGCCTGCGCTGGGGGCTGAGATGTCGATGCTGCTCTATGAAAACGTTAGCTCAATAGTGGTCAAAAAAATCAAGTCGTGTTACAGAAAGCATAGAAAGCAGTTGATAATTTCCTAGTACACAGAGCTGTGAATTCAAATAATAACTGGGAAAGGATGTGGGGAAAACTCCTCTGAGAGCAATAAGGTAGAAGAGAGACATCTCTGCTTGGGGAAGAACCTGAACTGCAGATTGCTGGAGGCTGTGAAATAATTGTAGGAAAAGCACCAGTGTGTGCTTGCCTTGTCCTTATATTCTGCTTTTTTAAGACACTGTTGTTCACCTGCATGGCCTTCACCACAAAGCAGGCACTAGGCAGCTTTGCAGTCCAGTCCCTTTTGATATTGCAACTTTCAGATGATGCACTGGGGAGGTAGAGAACACTGGAGTGGCTGTGGGTGCCAGGTCAGTGCCTTTCCAGAGAAACTCTCAGATTTTTTTAAAATCAGATTTGGCAGACAATAACTATTAACATGTGGGTTTCAAATACTGGAATATTTCTTTGTATCTTTCAATCTGTATGACATCTACTGCCATCTTTTGATGGAGTCTTTGCTTTGGGAGGGTTTATTCACGGTAGGTCAGTTGCCAAAAGTTGGACTTTTGCATTTGCCTTTAAAAGAAAAACTGCATCTCTAAGTGGAGTTGGCTCTGGTTTTTAGATCTCTGAGATGGCAAAATATTAGGATAGTTGACTTGTAACAGGAAGACTCCTCCCTTTGTATAGCATGCTGCTGGTCCTTTAAAAATTTAAAATGCACTAGGTCACACAGCAGGTATTGGGAGATCATATGGAGTTCCCAGTTGGTATTTGGAGCTCAAAACTCTGGTGTTTCATTCCCTCAGTAGGCAAAACTTTCTTCCCCTGACAATTGCCTCTGTTCTTTGAATCTTCTTAATGAGAAGTAGCAACTGTACGTGCAGGATTTAAAGGTTGGTTTGGTTCCACTAGAACTGTGTAGTGACACCCGTGCCCCCGTTTTCCAGACTTAGTGAAACACACGTGGGCTCGATCCCAAATGGTCTGCGTTCTGCACGTTCACTTGCCGGGTGTGTTGACATCTGAGAGCAGTATGCCTGAAGGGAAGGCAGGTGAACAATGACTTGGGAAGTTTTTGAGTCCGTAAAATAGTAAAACTATTGTCCTTCCTATGTGGGATTTAAAATCCGTTAAGAAAAATGCCAGACAGGAGGAGGATGCTTATTCCGTAAGGAAGATGCGAGGGCTGAGATTTGATTATGAAACTTCTTGGGGAGGCTGTGGCGTTGCAGCTAGTCTAATGAAAGGCGTTACTTATCCCTGCAGCCTTTGCTTCCCTTATGATATTGCAAGTGGTTTTGTTTCAGTTCTTTGCCTTTCTGAGAAAATTGACCAAAAAAAGTGTAGTGGTTCAAATTTGTACATGTAACATAACAAAAAGGATGTTACATGACTAAAGAGTGAGCCCTTGCATCCAGCATTGCTTGAGATGTAATTGGATATAAAAAGGGAAGGTATTAACAGTGACAACATAATTTGCCATTATTCTGAGAGAGTTCTCATTTTATAAAGCCAGTATGTGCTTTCATGTTACTAAGCCAAATTAATTTTTTATTGTTTCTGTGTCAACCAGTGCTTAATTTTTAGAGCCCGTGACAATTGCTCACTTTTTGAGGAGTTTTATCAGTAGAAGATAAACAAATATTTTTCTGACTTACAAAAGGTGGGGCTTTTTCTTTTTTTTCAGTGCAGAGAACTCTACAAACAGTGCGGATGCATCTAGCAACAAGTTTGTTTTTGGGCAGAACATGAGTGAGCGAGTCCTAGTGAGTATCCGCTGTGTATGAAATACGCTTTGTGAGTACTTTGCTTTATGGATTCTCATGCAGGAATTTTGAAAACCTTTAATTATACCTGTCCCTGGGGCATGGTTTTCCTTCAGCGGTTTCCCTTGTAGGTAACTTGTTTGAGCGCAGCATGGGGGTTTCACTGTGAGCAGCGCTCTCCACGATTTCCCTGCCAAGCTCTACCAGCGTAAGGAGCTTGAGTGCCTTCTGTAGCGCGCGTGGTTCTCAAGTCCACCCACGTTACGGCACAGAACACTGCTTTAAATGCCTGCTTCAGTATCAGTATTTGAGGGTGGTTTGTTTGCTATTTTCAAACTGATAAAAGGTCCGTTCCATGACTCCCCCAGTGATGGGGTTTCAAGTCCAGCAGGAAGGCAGCTGCCTGGGTACTGAGGTGTGACGGGAAATTCTGTGGTTGTTGTGTAAGGTGTAGTGCCTCACTGCTTCCTGCTGCTGTTTTTATTGCTGTGGGTACAGAAGGGAAACACGTGATGCTGTGTGTTCATACCTGTCTAACTGCTGAGCAGGGAGTGCAGTCAAGGTATGCCTTGAGCTGAAATTGGTTTGCTTTGTTGAACATAATTTCAAAATAAGGGTTGAAATTTAGTTTCAGTTTGGGGGAAAATAATTTGAGCTGGTTTTCGTGCTCCATTCAGTTTCTTGGCTGGCATAGCAGGACAGCTTTTACTGTGAAAGTATGTCATCTGTGGGATTCTTGTTTTGCTGTACGGTTTATAAACACGAGGGCTTCCCTCAGTAATTGATTGCTAGTCCTGTTCTGCAAAATTAGTGCATGTTTGCTTTCTTCTGTTTATCTCCTTTCTGTGATAGAGTCCACCAAAATCAAGTGAAGGCAGCACAGAGACTAAGGAGAATGCTGCTACAGAGTCTGGGTCTGAATCATCTTCTCAGGAAGCCACACCAGAAAAAGGTGAAAAAGAAAATATTCTTTGGGAATGGTAGTTAATCCTTGTTTGAATGACTGCATTTTTCAATATCGTGTTACTTTATAAAACCATAACTTTTTATGCAGCCTTTAATGTCTGCTGAAGATATGGGCTTGGGGCAGGGGTGACGTGCTGGATGCTATACGATCTCTTGTCCCTTTGTCTTTAATATTAAATATGTACAGGCTGCACTGTCTTTTTCATGGTTGTTCTGTGATACTGGGAGTATCTTCAGCAGAATTAAGGTACAGGGAATTAACAGAGCAGGTACTTGGACCTGCAGAGTATAGAAGAAATATATCAAACTGGTTTTTAACAATTTTATTACACTTCCAGTGACTGAATGTCTGAGTCAAATATATTGAGTGGGTGCACCAAATGTATTGCTTGAATCAAGAACTGTTTGCCAGGTTCTAGAGTTCTGTGACTTTTCAAATTGGCAAGATTTTCTGAACATTTTGGGAGCTATGGGTTTTCTCCACTGCTCGCAAGCCAAAATAAAAGTGGAAAACGACCCGTGCTGTACGTGTGTAGGCACGCCAGCTGTGTAGCTTGTAGAATATCAGTACTACTGGAACACCTACTCGCAGGAGTCTGGTGTTAGCAAAGGCTTTGAAATGTTGTATGCAGGGACAAATTTTTTCAATAACTTACCTCTTCTGTCCCTTATGTCTTCTTGTGCTTTTAAAACAAGTCTTAAAAGGCAGGCTTGTAAGTTCTGCTTTCAATGTCAATCAAAAAATATTTCTAATGTTCCATTAACGTCTGTCTTCCGTGCTTTATTTCTCCAAATTCTAGTATGCTTGTGTGAGACCTTCATAAATCTTACAAAATTGTATGCTAATCATTCTCAAACTTTGAAAATGTTGTTCAGCTAATAATGTTTCAGAATCGCTGGCAGAGTCTGCAGCAGCCTATACTAAAGCGACAGCAAGGAAGTGTTTGTTAGCGAAGGTAGAAGTGATTACCGGGGAGGAAGCTGAAAGTAATGTGTTACAGGTAAGAAACGGATACAGGAGAGGAGCTTTGAGTTTATGGGACTTCATAGGGATGTCCAGTGAATGCGCACCTCCCAATTCCCTACAGCTCAGCCATCCTCGATCTCTCTAATGGCAAGCTTTGGATATTTGTTATCAGATGCTTCCTTTGTTGTTTCTTAATTTCCTCTTTCTGAATAAATGTTAGTGTTTGGGCCATCCAGAAAAATCTTAGGCATACTTTCCTGAATCTATCGTAGAAAAGCTTCTATCTTTGACAAAACAATTATTTCACAAAAATTTAAATGAACTAAATATTTTTAAGTTCTTTAATTATACTACTAAAGATTTTTTTAACTCGGAATAGACAGTTATGCCAGCAATCTGATTTCTTGCGTAGCAGAAACCATAAAACAGTACTGAGGAATTCGTCTTGAGGTACCTAATTGAATTAGTGATGTTTTAGAAAGACATTCCATCATGATTCAAACTACTGGTTTTAATTGTGATTTATTTAACACTGTAGCTATTCATTAACTTAAATATACTTCTTGACTTAAGTATGTCCTTAAGAAAAACATGTAGGTTTTTTGTGTAAAACTAAGTGGTATACTTTTTTTTCCTCCCTCCTCTCTTTATCCTTCAATTATATTTTTTTTTTCTTGAGATCGCTTAAGTTTCTCAGCATTATTGAACTGCATTATTTTTTAAGGATAGCTTTTTATTCTTACAGACATGCTGGTCTGACACCAAACAGATGCGCTGTGTCAGTAATTAATGTGTATCAGTTACACTTGTGTTATCCTACAAAATAATCTACATTTGTCTTCTCAGGCTTCTTTTTAACAGACATGCCTGGTCTTTAAATAAGTGTTCTGATACTTCTCTGTTTTTGTATAATTCAGAAACTCTTGGATGTTTCATGTAATCAAACAAGACACTGAAGAGATGAAAGTCCTGTTTCACTTAGGCAAATGACAACTTTTAGCAGTTGTAGACTTCACAGAGGACTGAATTGCATTAACGTGCTGTAACTTAACAAGACCTCTGCCTAACTTCTTTTTTCCTGTGAAATGCAATGCGCTGGAACCCCAGTGGGGCTTGCGCAGACAGAACTATGTTAGTGTTGCAGAAATGAAGTATCCAGAGCTAGGTGTTCGATGTTGGAGAAAGTGAGAGAAATGGAGGGAATGAAAAATGGAAATATCTTCACCACCTAGTGTGTGCACATGTGTGGGGAACTTGAGGGGCGATGGTTTGAATTGTGAAACCTCGACACTGACAATGGAGATTGATTAGAGACGGGGATATAAAGCAGAGATGTTTAGCAGGGCAGGAAAAAGGGAGCTTTTATGGTAAGCAAGTACAGTCCTAGCTTTAGAAAGTACAAAAGGTGTGCTTTTTCAAACCAATGAACCAGGAAGGCAGGAGAAATGCCTCTTGTTTATTCGTGGGTTTGTGTGGGTCAGGCTTTATGAATTGATAATGAACTCACGGGTGTGTTCAGCCTTTCTTCTGTAATAGTTTGAAAACTGTTCTTGCTGTTTCACCTTGAACACAGGTACTCTTTAAGAATGCTGTCTGTTAATAAAACTTTATGAAACCATATAGCATATTTTGAGGAATTTATTGCAAAAGAGAGGATGTCTACTTTGGTGTCTGCAGTTATGAACAGTTTGAAGTTCCAATATGAAATATTGAGGGGGTTTCAGCCAGCTGGAGGTGACTACGTATGAAATATATTATTACTTCAATCAACCACTGTACTATGGAGAGATTTTCTGTTACAGATTCAGTGCAAGCTGTTTGTATTTGATAAAAACTCTCAGTCTTGGGTGGAAAGAGGTCGAGGACTTCTGAGACTCAATGATATGGCCTCAACAGATGATGGAACTTTACAGTCTCGGCTGGGTAAGAGGAACCAGGGGAGATGAGGTACTGGATGATAGTCAGTGCTATTTTCGTAGGATGCTTCCATGACACACAGCAGCATCAAGTTTGGGTTAAGTCTTAGCTACAGCAACTCAGAAAGCAGTTTGGACCTTTTCTCTTGCTTTGATTTATGACCATTTCTTCCACACAAAGTTATCTTTCCATATCCTCCTATTGCTGCAAATGTTCCGGTTACTTCCCCCCCCGAACAGCAAGCTGTATTTAGCAACTAGAGTGTGTGACTAGAAATGTCTGGTAATGTTGTTCAGATCTGGGCTCTGCTTTTTTTGGGAAGGGGTGCCTGTGGAGGGGAGGTCTCTTTGAACAGTGCGTGGTTGGCTGGCAGGTATATGCATTAGCCTGAGATGATCAGCTCATAACCAAGCACTGCACTTCGATGTATTAAAATGTAAGGTTTTGGACAAAATATCTTTAGACATGACTGAATCTTTAATAGCCTACGTTCTTCTGATTAACAGCTGTGATGAGATTCCTATTTTAAGGGCTTTCCCTTGATATTCTTTGTAAAGAGACTCAAATGTTCACACAATAGAAAGCCATCTGGAGTGTTCTGAGCTTCCTGTTGTGTCTTTTTCCACCTAACTGATCTTGTCTGTTGGCTTTAGTGATGAGGACTCAGGGGAGCCTCCGGTTAATCTTGAATACCAAGCTCTGGGCTCAGATGCAGATTGATAAAGCCAGTGAGAAGAGTATCCGGATCACCGCCATGGATACAGAGGACCAGGGAGTTAAAGTTTTTCTTATATCAGTGAGTCCTGTTTATTGTTTACATCTTAACCTTCCTGCTAAAATTTGTGGTTGCCTAAATTGTAGTTGAGGAACATTCCCGTTCTTTGCACCCTACCTCCTATTGCCACCCCATGCCCAAAGACAAAGGGCTTGGCAAATTTTGCTTGAAAAACCTTGCTGCTTGTGAAGAAATTCTATATAAAAGGCTGCTCTAGAACCAGTGTGTCCACAGCATTGACCATGGGGTCATGGGATGTGTTCCCACCCCTATTACTACTGTAACTGCAGTGTGAGAGCAGTGTGAGATTAATGATATCTTTTGTTATCAAGGGAAATAGACATTTCATAGATTTTTGTGTAGTAGCTTAACCTAAATTAGATCTATCAGAACTTGTAGGATGAGAAAGCTGTCACTGTTTGCATACAGCGTGGGTGGACGTACAGGTGCTCACGGAATTGAAACACTAAATATCTGTCAAGAACATTGTGGTAGTAGTTAAGGGTTACACATTTTAACTTTGATTTTCTTTTAACACAGAGGATTTCAAGCAGTAGCAGGACAGTGTAAGTGATTTCTGTGCTTGCTAAATGGGGAAACAGCAATCCCAATTAGAATTACTAAAACACTGGGGAGATTATGATACAGTCATCAAGAAAGAAAGGTAATTCCCTAATGTCTGCTATAGATCTTGAGAGGTCTGAACACATTATTTTGACTTAAAACTGATCCTGCACCCGGGGTTACTACAGAATTCAGTTTTCTTGTGGATCAGAAAATAAGAAAACGAACAAATGGTCAGGTTCCCTTGTGACATTAGGTTTGTAGGACTGGGATCTGGAGTCACAGAGTGGAACTTAAGGATACCAAATATCCATTGATGTAGAAAAAACTGAAATGAATGGATAACTTGTTCTCAGCATTCTTCTAGATCTGACAAGTTTGAGTTAAGTCTGTCATCAGGTTATTCGCTATTGATTTTATTATTGATAAAAAGTATCTTGTAATGATTAAATTATTCATTACAGCTCATTGCAGGGGAATTTTGCAGATTCAGAGGTGACAGATTTAAGTGACATATGGCGAGGATGGAAACCATTTTTTATGAAAGAATCTGAGAAGTGGGATTTTAAATAATGACCATTAAATACTTAGTTTGATAGGCCTAAAAATTGATTCTTCTGGAGGCATGAAGTTGCCATTAACCTTGGAGAGTAAAAAAAAATTAAATCTTGAACACGTTGTCACAAATGCTTCCCTCTGAAACAGCTAACCAGTATAAAAGAGTGTAAGAAAAGGTTTTGTGCATAATCACTTGCCCGACTGCCTGTCAATTCAGCTTGCTCATTACATCTTATGTTGAAATTTTGTCAGTGCATCATGAAACAATTAAGTGACTTGATTATGGTTAACTAATATGTGTAGTTGACAAACCTGGAAAAATCTGTGCAAGGCAAACTTTTCAATTAAAGATCTTTTTAGCGTAAGCCTTTGGGGGTGTCAGGAAAGCTGTGTGACTCCTAGAAGAAGGTTATATAAAATCAGTTAGTCCTGGTTATGTTAGCCAGAGAAAGCTGGTGGTGAGCAGAGAGGGATGTACTCTCACCATCAGAGTTTAGAATATCTGGCATCTTGCTATGTATACCACAACCATTCTGACCTAGTTTGAAAACCCCTATATGGAAAAAATGAAAAGTAGATTGTGAAACTTGGCATGACTGGTGTATATTAAATAAGCAGTGTTTTATTCTGTTATAATTCCTTCCACCTTTTTCTTGTTTCTGAATACTGAAAAACCTAGGCAAGTTCTAAAGATACAGGGCAGTTGTATGCTGCATTGCACCATCGGATCTTGGCCTTGCGGAGTAGAGTGGAACAAGAGCAAGAAGTCAAGAATGTAGCGCCTGAGCCAGAGGTAACGCAATCAAATGAGGAAGACAGTGATGATGATGTCATTGCACCTTCAGGATCAGTTGGAAGTGGTAAGCAAGAAATACAACGGAGTTTCCTGTTTTCCATACGTTTTTCTTTGTCATTCTCCAAGGCAGACTGCCCTCTCTGTAACTGTATATTATGGGTATACTTCTGGGCTGTTACTTCTCACACGTGTTTGGAATAAGACTCAGTGCATGAGTTGCCTTTTTGAATGCAACTGTTCCTTGCTGCTTCTCCAAACTGGTAAAAATGACCTGTGCTGCTTCCATCTGAGTTACGTGTTGGAGTTTAGCAGAGGTTATCTGTGCTTCATAGAATCGTTAAGGTTGGTAAAGACCTGAAGGATCATCAAGTCCATCCCAACACCAC